AAGTTGTAGAGAATCAAAAATTAGGCTTATAGCCAAATTTCCAAAAAGATACACTTAGTCGTTTCGCTTAAAATGAAAGTTGTGAAGATTTGGGTGCATTTCTTTCTTAAATTTGGCATTTCTTGAGAACCAGCTTTTGAATCGTTCTGAAAATTTGGATATAAGCTTGATTTTTGATTCCTCTACAACTTTTCCATTGACACCAAAATGGGTTTCTTTTGAAGAGTGCTCAAACTGTCACATATGACAATAGCCGGAGTTTTCAATTCACCAACCCAATAGGTTTGGCCTTCATTGTGGTTCGACCTACGAAAAGTTCCGTATTCTCCAATGGAAATAGATCCCTTTCTCATTTCATCACAAAATTTATCGCGTAAAACAATACTTTCAATTAATCTGATAAAAGAAAATGATTTGAAATGAAAAAGAATGAAGAAACGATGATGCGGCGCTCCCATCGACTACCTTCGACTCTCGGCGACGTCATTTGGAATGCGACGTTGCGCGAAAATTAAAAACTTACATGAAAACGCAATTTTTGGCATTTCTTGAGAACCAGCTTTTGAATCGTTCTCAAAATTAGATATAAGCTTGATTTTTGATTCTCTACAACTTTTCCATTGACACCCAAAATGGGTTTCTTTGAAGAAAGTGCTCAAACTGTCACATATAGCCCTCAGTTTTCAATTCATCAACCCAATAGGTCACTGGTAATGAGGTTTTGATTTTACAGCTAAATTCTAGCATTTAAACAAGCAGCTTTTGGGTTTTTACCATGAAATGGAATGTTTAAGAGTTTTACTATGGCTTAGCGATTGTTGCTTTCTCTGATAGCGATTGCTTTCTAGGATTTAAGACTTCTATTTTAGAATGTAGATAAAGATTTTTGATTTTACAGGGAATGACACTAGCTAGAAGTTGAGAATCGCTATCCTTCATAGAATCGCTGATTCTGAAGCTATAAAATTAGCTTCAAACACCCACCAATCTGATCTAGAAAGCGATTGCTTGCGCGTTCATAAATTGAGTTTTAAGTTCCTTTCGAAATGACAAAATTGCAAAATGGGAATTTGGGTGTTTTGATTGAAAACCTACTTTAAAATGTCAAATTCGTGTTCAGCCTCTTGATTACCCCTAGAAAAGTGAAGAAATGATTGTTGAAATTGAAGCCTTAGCGATTGTTGCTTTCTCTGATAGCGATTGCTTTGTCAAGTTCTAGGATTTAAGACTTCTATTTTTGACATTTATTTTATGACCATAGCCCGCCGCTTTCAATTCACCAACCCAATATTTCAACTCAAGCTTGGCTCAGAAGTGCTCAGAATGGAAGATTTTGAGAAAATTCAATGGAATTTTGCAAAACCTCTCCCATCACACATAAACTTTTGTTTCTCAAGCATTTCTCGTGTTAATTATTTCAAAATATTACTCACTTCATTTTCTCCTTTCCCCAAACCCGCCTTTTCACCTCAGCTCTTTAAATATTGACGAAAAAGCTTTCGTCGTTCTTATCACTGTTTCTTATTCGACATATTTTTTTTGCTCCATATTTACAACTTGTCATCTTATTCATTAACATTTGTATCGTCCAGCTGATTCGCTTCACTTCTATTGTCGTTTCGTCTTTTTCAATAGAACTCTTCCCTTTTCTCTTTTTTGTTTGCAATCAGCTGAATCATTGTTGATTCAAGAGCGTCTAGAGTTTTCCCTTCTCATATATTTCTTTATGTTTTTCTCCCTCAATGAAAGCTAAACATTTCAAAAATAGTAAAATTCTCATAATTTCAGAAGTTTTTTATTATCATTAGAATAACAAGCTTTCCATTTGGAATGTCACCAGTTTTCTCAGCTCGAACGGCATTTCTTTTGACACCATTCTAACTGTAAATAGAAAAAACTACCGTAAATACTGTAATAGTACCCCATCCCCCTCGTACAGTCGCGTGGTCGCAAAAGTTTTTTAGTATTTCATTTTTTTTCAAAGCACCAGTACTTTTTAAAAATGCGTCTTTGGTATCAAAAAATAGCTGAAATTCAGGCTATTTTTGATACCTAAACGACATTGTAGGTAAACCAGTGTCGAGAAAAACCGTTCAAGCTCGACCACGCTCAACACTCCGCACCGGCCCATCCTTTGAAGCCTATAACTTGCTCAGCGATAATATTTTTTCTAACTTTTTATATCATTGCACAGCTGACAATACAGGCTTTTAAATGATACCGAATAAAGCTTGGCTAGATTTTTCATTCCTATGAAAACCAGGCGACACTATGGGGTGGAGGATTATAACTATAGTATTTACCAGTATGTAACAGTTTGAGCACTTTCTTCAAAGAAACCCATTTTGGTGTCAATGGAAAGTTGTAGAAGAATCAAAAAATCAGAGCTTATATCCTAATTTTCAGAACGATTCAAAAAACTGGTTTTCAAGAAATGCTAAATTTACGAAAATTTCACAAAACTTGCAACAAAACTTGCATTTCAAGCGAAACTACTAAGTGTATCTTTTGAAAATTTGGCTATAAGCCCCCAATTTTTGATTCTCTACATTACCTTTCTATTGACACCAAAATGGGTTTCTTTTGAAGAGTGCTCAAACAGATCTCCAGTCTCCATCTCCAGTCCTCCATTTTGAGTCTCACACACAAACCAAAATCCTACCTTTTTCACTGAACTTCTTCCTTTTCCTCCCTTTCCCTTCCTTCTTCCTTCCCTTTTCCCTTCTTCCTTCCCTTTTCCTTCTTCCTTTCTCTTCTTCCTTTCCCTTTTCCAAATCATCACCATCTGGTCTTCTTCAATCGAATCCGATCTCATTTTGATCATAAAGTACAAAGACGAATCCTGTCAAGTCATGTTTTTGTACGATAAACTCTACTGCCCACAATTCTACACCCACGGGCTTATTTGGAGCTATATTTAAGCTAACTGAGCACCTTGCGATTGAACATTGGGCATTGAACTTTCAGCTTTCGGGAATTTTGAACGAGTCGTCACCTTTGAAGGCCTATAACTTTGTTCAGAGATGATATTTGCTAACTTTTTATATCATTGTACAGAGGATATTTCAGGCTTTCAAATAATACCAAATAGAGCTTGGCTAGATTTTTCATTTCCATGAAAACCAGGCGACATGACACTCGAGTCGGATAGGCCTCATTTGCTCAGAGTTGGCTCTGATTTTCTTGGACTGGATTATCCAATTAAGCTTTATTTGGTATTATTTGAAAGCCTGAAAGGTGCTCTGTCCAATGATATAAAGCGTCAACAAAGATATGACCTCTGGACAAAGTTATAGGCTTTCAAAGCATGATGACCCGTTCAAAGTAGTCAGATTTTTTCAAAGTACCTGGATTCTTTCAAAATACCCGGAAACTATCGAACTTTCAAATAATTTTTAGTTTATGCTAAGAATTTGTGAAAAAAACTAGTTTTATCTAGATTTTGTCTGAAAAAAGTTGAAAGTTTTAACCTTAACCTCCTTCTCTTTGACCACCATCATTTTGGCGTCACTACTCTTTTCTAGTTGCCAAAAACTTGCCCCAAAACTTCCCCAAAAGCAAACTAGGCACTCTATTTCAAGTCAATTTTACACTTTAATGTCTAAAGCTCAACTTTTGCTTATTTAGCCACTCTTTGAGGTCAAAACTTGTCAACTTGTTTCTGTTGACTTTTCGATCGAATCGGCGCCACAATTTCCCCTCTTTAGAAATGTTATCCATTTTAACAATTCCCGCAAAAGAATCCTAACGATGATTCACAAGAAAAGTTTCTCTAAAACAAAAGAATTGTAGTATTTCTGTATTGGTGGTTAAAGGAGGCTCTTGGTTGCACAACCACACATTGTTTACCCTTCCCCTCCCTTTTCTCCACCTCTTCCCCCCTTCTCCATCTTCTCTTCTTCTTCTTCTTCTCTTCTTCTTTTTCTTTTCTTCTTCTTCTTCTTCTTTCCTTCTTCTTCCTCTTCTTCCTCGTCTTCTTCTTCCTCTTCTTCTTCCTCTTCTTCCTCTTCTTCCTCTTCTTCCTCTCCTCACTACTTCTTCTTCTCCCTCTTCTTCTAGAAGCACTGATTCGAGACCTTTTCATCTTCTCATCTTTTCCCTAACTTTTATCTTTCATTTCTTTTCTTCATTTCATCTTTAACTCTCTCCTTTACGATATCCGCCTTGAAGAATTTGTGCAATCCTTTTGAGAGATAATCGATAAGCTTTTTGCAAACTCTTGATTACTTTAGTTACAAACTTTTTAAAATTATATTTAGATTTAGTTATTTAGTTTCTTAGTTAGTTATTGTAAACTTTTTCATATTTTATAGAAACTTGAATTCTACCAGAATGTTTTGAAAGCAATTTCTCTGGGCCAGGGCAGAAACCAAGTCCTGAACTAGCCTGGCTTTTACAGAGCTTACCTATGAACCCCTGAGCTCACCAGAAGCCGAAACTGGACCTGGATCTAGCTCTGGATCTAGCTCTGGATCTGGATAAACTCTCGAGTCCCTGCCTTTCACAATCACTTAATTCTTCTGTTAAGATACAAGATCTGTTAGATTCATGTTGATTGATTGCCCTTCTTGCTTAGAATCAAGCGTAAATAAAGATACCAAATAAAGAGATGGTCTAGTGGTTAGTGCAATGGTTTGCTGAGGGAAGGTGTTTGCTAGGTTCAGTCCCTTTTGAAGTTTTACATTTTGCTTTTCCCAGGTATTCAAAAGAAGCCTTTGTTGTTGTTTTTATTGGAAACTTTTTTGATTTTCTGAGCCTGGCTTTTATAGAGCTTACCTATAAACCCCTGAGCTCACCAGAAGCCGAAACTGGATCTGGATCTAGCAGTAAACCATAATGCAGATTTTCTAGAAAAGAAATTGAGCGTAAACAAAAAAGAACCAAATAAAGACTTCTAAATTGACATAATTTTTTTAGAAATGCCATCAATCTTTACTTTTTTTAGAAAAATTTTACAGCTATTTTACAGCTATTTCCAAAGCATTTTGCAATTTTAGTGGATGATCGACCGAGACACAGAAACCTCACTGCGATATCTTCGTGAAGTGATTCGAAGTGGGAAAACGGAGGTAGAGAAAGACTAGTATTGAGATTTAAAACTTTGAAAGTAGCTATAATATTGGGTTGTCCAGTTATGAATGCGCGTTTTTACTATTTTGTAAATTTCTCAAGATACCGAACAGATGTATATGAGTGTTATATATCATTCAAAAGCTGAAGATCTCCTCTACATTTTGGAATAAAAAAGTTTTCGAATTTCCTCAACTTTTTGAGAAATTGACTGCACAAAGGGAGAGGTCGTTTTCGAAAAAACCCATTTCAGCTTAGCTATTCCTCAAGTTTTATGGTGTAAAATAACCGCCCAGAAAAGAAAAGTAAAGATGCTCTGGAATTGTTATATTTAAAAAAAGCTTGTATTGATATATCTATTGGCCAAACATCAAACGGTTAACTCAATTTGAGCGGAGCCAAAACTTGATCCAAAGGCACCCTTCCATTTTTTGGCCACCTCTTCTTCTGTGCCATCAATTTGCCCAAAAGCTGAACAAATTCAAAAACTTTTTATATCAAAATGTAGAGGAGATCTTCAGCTTTCGAATAATACTAATAGATACCTTTTTCTTGATTTCGGTATCTTGAGAAATTTACAAAATAGTAAAAAACGCGCATTCATAACTGGACAACCCAATAGTTGGAAACAAAAGTACGATAACAAATCGATAACCAAAATAAAAAAACCTTTCATTTCAGATTATTCCCTCCTCCGCTCAAGCCGTCTTAAACAGTCTTGCCAACAGCAAATGCTGTCGAGATCCGGGTCTACAGGTTTGGAATACAACTTTCAAACTCTAGTTGAATCTTTTAAGTCTTTCTTTTAATTTTGTGAGAAAATCCAAACAATTGGGCAGTTATGAAAGCTACGAAGCAGTTCTGAAAGCTTATGAAAGCTTTTCTGCCTAGTTTTTTCGTAGCTGCCCCTTTTGTTTGAAATTCTTCACGAAACTAGAAGATATTCAGCTAAATGGACAAGTATAGAAAGTATAGCTGAATGAACCAGCTATACTGAATGAACGCTTTGAAAGTATAGCTGGTAGCCTCTAAAATTCATGTGCCTAGCTTTTGACTCTGATCCAGGCTTACAGGCTTACAATTAGGGGCAATTCCCTGTCCCCTATTTCCATTACCAAAGCCACATTGAAATAGCCATCATTATTTGGCAAGCCATCATTACTCTCTTAAAGGCAAGCCATTAGCTCTTAAATTTTGGTTTCTACAAAGAGCTCTGGTCTTCACAAAGAGCTTTACAAAGACCAAACAAGCTTTAAATTCAAGTAAAAGGGTGAGAAGTGTCAGAAAGTGAATAGAACAGAAAGCAATAGAAAGGAAACTATTGCTGAGTGGGCAAGGGAACACTTTGAAAAGTATAGTTTGGAAATTCATCTTCTTAAAACCCTTCTCATTTATAGGAGATTGTGGGACATTCGATGCCCATCTCGTCTCCTTTGCCATTGGCAATCTAACTTTGAACTCAAATCTCTTGGTGTTTGGCTTTCCAATTGAAATAGTTTTTGTACCACTCGACAGAGACAGTCTTGGCGCATCTAATGATACCAAGAAGATTGGAATTGAACCGCCCAACACCAAGATATTTGAGCTCAAAGTTAGATTTCCAATAGCAAAGGGGCGCTCTTAAAGGGGCGTTCTTAAAGGGGCGTTCTTAAAGGGGCGCTCTTAAAGGGGCGCTCTTAAAGGGGCGTTCTTAAAGGGGCGTTCTTAAAGGGCGTTCTTAAAGGGGCGCCTTAAAGGGGCGCCTTAAAGGGGCGCCTTAAAGGGGCGCCTTAAAGGGCGCCAAGGGGCGCTCAAAGGGCGTCTTAAAGGGGCCTAAAGGGCGCCTAAGGGGGCGCTCTTAAAGGGGCGCCTAAGGGGCGCCTTAAAGGGCGCCTAAAGGGCGCTCTTAAGGGGGCCTTAAAGGGGGCTCAAGGGGGCTCAAGGGCGCCAAGGGGCGCTCTTAAAGGGCGCCTTAAAGGGGCGCCTTAAAGGGCGCCTTAAGGGGCGCCAAAGGGGCGCTCTTAAAGGGGCCTTAAAGGGCGCTCTTAAGGGGCGCTCTTAAAGGGGCGCTCTTAAAGGGGCGCTCTTAAAGGGGCGCTCTTAAAGGGGCGCTCTTAAAGGGGCGCTCTTAAAGGGGCGCTCTTAAAGGGGCGCTCTTAAAGGGGCGCTCTTAAAGGGGCGCTCTTAAAGGGGCGCTCTTAAAGGGGCGCTCTTAAAGGGGCGCTCTTAAAGGGGCGCTCTTAAAGGGGCGCTCTTAAAGGGGCGCTCTTAAAGGGGCGCTCTTAAAGGGGCGGTCTTAAAGGGGCGGTCTTAAAGGGGCGGTCTTAAAGGGGCGGTCTTAAAGGGGCGGTCTTAAAGGGGCGGTCTTAAAACTTTGATACTCTAGAACGAAAATTCTAGGATGCTTTGATAAACTTGCTGAAATTTGTCGATCATCATGTGGATGTACAATCAACATCGAAACTTGATCAACCTGAAGGGATGCGGCTCGTTGATGAGCTGCAAAAAGTAAGATATTTGATGTGATCAAATGATGCAACGATAATATCTTGTCAGTCCTTTTTTTGCCGTTGGCAATTTAAAGTTTTTCGTCTTTTCATTCGCAAACGTCAGCGCAAACCATTCGATTTTGACTATCATTCGATGCGGAATAAAATTGCGCGTCGAGTGATACCAAAATTAACTCAAAATATAATATCCATGCAAAGTTGTTGGCTAAAAACGTAAACCCCGTCCATTATGGGCGAGACTTAATCTTTTGCCTCATAACTTTGCATGGATATTATATTTTGAGTTGGTTTTTGGTAACATTCGACGCGCAATTTTATTCTGTATTGAATGATAGTAAAAATAGTCGAAATCGAAGGGTTTGTGCTGAAAAAGACCCTAAATTGACAACGGTAAAAAAAAGGACAGATGTCTTCGTGACAAGTATTCAGTCTAGACTGTTTGGAATACAGTATTCAATCTAGAATAGGATATTCAGCTAGACCACGGCATTTAGTCTAGATTAGGGCATTCAGTCGATATAGAGTATTCAGTCTAGCTTGACATTGACAACGGTAAAAAAAGGACAGATGTTTTCGTCATAAGTCTAGTGCTGGCCATGTAAAATAGATGTAAGTAAACAAATCATTTGTCTAAACCTTCAAACTCTAGGAACTACTCTCTTCTCGAAGTCGACCACAACCAGAAGAATCAATCTCCTCATATGAAGTGGAAGAGCCGGATGAAGGCATTGGAAGCACTGTCTCCAACGCGAGTACTGGCCCCGATCCTGGCCTTGATGAACTACTCACACAGCTAAATTTAAGGTTTAAAAAAAGTTTTCATTAAGTAAAAAGCCACCTTTTTCTAGACAAGTGGCCAAATTTGAGCCAAAATTCCCTGAAATGAACGGAGAATCCGAGGAGGAAGATGGAGGAGTGCTGACAGAAGAAAGAAAAGAGGAAAGAGCAGAGAAACATGGGCAAAAGGTAAAGAGTTTAAAGTCGACTTTCTCTGTAATCAACAACTACTTTGACATAACACAAATAAATACTCCGACAAGTTTCAGACTTGCGAAGAAGAAGTGGAGACATTACCCGATGGGACAGAGGTCAGGAGGAAGAAGACAAGAACGGTGAACATGTCACAAAGTAGTCGACAGGTGAGGAATGAAATGTTTTCTATAAGTTCAAAAACTCACTTCTCAAATAGCTCATCTCAAATCTATTCTTCCCCTTCCCCCGAAAATCCAGCTATAAATCCAAAGCTGAATATCCTTTTACCATCTACAAAGCAAAAGAGAAATCTCGATGTAAATGAATGGCAAGGTGCTCTTTGTGCGGCCGCGTAATCACTCTCCATCTGGCGCATCCTCCTGATAGATAGGTTTCCCTTTTGGAATTTGTAAAAGAATCCGAGTGAGTCTTCTTTCGCATTCTCTGCACGTCGCTATGCCCAAGTTTTTCCCTCAAATTTGGCACTATTTTTGGTAAAAACTCGAAATTCTGTAAAACCTTGAACATTTTTTCCCAAATTTAAATCACAGTCAAACCTCGATTTAACGACTCTCGATTGAACGATGCTCAATCTTTGGTTGCTTGAAAGCTATTTACCTTATAAAGGCGTTCGATTTAACAATTTGCTCGATTTAACGATGTAGAATCTCGATCCCTTGAGAATCGTTAAATCGAGGCTTCCCATTTGGAATTCGTTAAAGAATCCGACTGAGTCTTCTTTCGCATTTTCTACGCATCCAAATTTATATTCAGAATTTAGCAGTTTCAAGGAACCATTTTTTAGAAATTTTACACAAAGTGACTTTTTTCGGACATCCTGTACATTTCGGTGTAACCACATGTAGTGGAAATTTCCACATGTATGAAAATTTCCTCAATGGCTAATGTTCCTTTTAGACATGGAAGCTACAAACTACAAGATCAGACTACAAACGCTTGTAGAAACGTGTAGAATGGATATTTTTATAAACTGTTTTTACCAAAAAAATCGAGCCAACTTTCGGGCTTTTGAATGACGCCAAGATCGAACCAATTCACCATTTCTGCGCTGAAATATAACGTTTTTTTCCTGGTTTGTAGTCTTGTCCCATGGGATAGGACTACAAACCTGAAAAAAACGTTATATTTTGACGCAGAGATGGTGGATTTTCTTGATTTTGGTGTCATTTGAAAGCCTGACTCGTTGGCTCGTTTTTTTAGTAAAAACAGTTTATAAAAATATTCATTCTTGGCGTTTCTACGAGCGTTTATAGTCTGATCTTGTAGTTTGTAGCACCCATAGCTAATTCCTTTTTTGTTTTAGGTAACAATCAGCACACGTGGCGGTGGAGTTCCATGTGTTTCGCGGCGTTTCATTGATGGAAACCATTCGATGAATGACGACACCGACTTTGAGACAACCGATTTCTTCACTTCCCCATTGTCAAGGTCGGATTTAGATGAGTATTTGTCTATATCAAATTCGTCGAGTTTTAGAATGAAGCGTGACCGGGCAAATTTTCTCAATCCCGAGCAATCAATCGGTTTTGAATCGACATCAAGTGAACCCGGGCAATCTCAAAAAACAAAGACCGTCGAAGCGACGAGTGAAGTGACACAGTGAGTTTTTAGAAAGTTTGAGCGTCCTTCTGAACATTCTGAGCGGTTTAGATTTTCACTAAAACTTTCAAGAAACAATTTTATATCAAAATTCTTTTAGAAGTGTTGCTCAAAAGACGCAAAAGAATGGACGAGTGCTGGCGGAGAATGCGGCTCACAAAATCGATACCACGGAATTGAATGCTCGACAAATTGACACATTCAAGGTGAAAATCATTAATTAGATTATTAATTCTAAACCGGATTATATTGCTGTACCCAATCCTAGGCTTCCTTAAACTAACTAGGTATTTTTTACTTAGACTTACCTAGGTCAAGGTTTCTGTTTCTTCCAGAAATTTGATCCTATTCTTATCGTAAGGAAATTTGTTGGGTGAAGGATTGTGTAAATTTTAACTATCTCGGGATGTCTTGATCTTAAATCAAATACTTTTTCGGCTTTTTCAAATACTTTCTATTTAGGGCAAGCAGCTAACGGATCGAAAAGGTGATGGCACATATGAGGAGGCGACAATATTTCGCGGTGGTTTACCCGGAATCGAGAGAACTCCTGCTGATTCCCCTGTGAAGAAACACGTGGTCGAGTATATTCAGGTGAGATTTAAGAAAAGGATATGCTTTTAAAAGATAAGCTTTTCAAAGATAAGCTTTTCAAAGATATGCTTTTAAAAGATACGCTTTTAAAAGATATGCTTTTAAAAGATATGCTTTTAAAAGATACGCTTTTAAAAGATACGCTTTTAAAAGATATGCTTTTAAAAGATATGCTTTTAAAAGATATGCTTTTAAGTAAGGTTCAAACTGAAAAGTTAAGAGTTTGAGAAAAGCTGCTGGTGCATAAAATTAGGTTGATGCAGAAGTCTTTACAATTTTTTTTCGAAACGTCATTTAAAAATAATGCTGCCACCAACAAAATTTCTATTTAAACTATTAAAAAGCTTTATTGTTTCTTTGCATAATGGCCTTTGGGAATTTCTTAGAAGTAATTGTTTTTATAGACTTTCAAAGGCGCAAAGGCGAGCACCCAAAACTTTCTTTGAAAATTTGGACACTTTCTTCAATTACAAACCATTACAATACAATTTCAATACAATTTTGGTGTCAAAGTAAAAAAGATAGAGCTTATTTGATTACATAAGTTTGTAAAATTTGAAAACGATCCGTTTGGCCATTTTCTTTAAGATAGCAATTGAAATTTAGCATAAGATAGCAATTTTACACAAAAATGCGTTTTTACCGAATTGAGGCGAGCTTTGAGTTTTGTCTTAAAAGCTATTTCGTAGAGAAATGATAGACCTTTTTAATAGTTTAGGACACAACAATTTTGGTAAACGACTCTTTTCTATGGAAACAAAAGTTTGAAAAGAAAATTGTAAAGACTTTTGCGTCAACGTAATAGATTGTCAAGCTAGAGTTTTTGAGCTTTCCTAGAGCTTTCCTAGTTTTTTGAGCTTCCCTAGGCCTTAGAAGAATCTAAAAAGTCTAAAACACAAAAGATAAGCTATGCAAAGTTATTGTAGAATTAAAATTTTCGTTCAAAACTTTCGAGAAATGGCCAATTTTAAAATATCCCCTCAAACAATTGAAAGTTTTCCCCAAAAATTGAAAATTTGGGCACCAGGTGTACATTTATTTTTTTGTTTCCATGAAAATTTTTTATCTAAACACAATCGGAATAGAATGACGCCTTTTCTCTAAAAAAACCCTCATAAAAATCCAATTCACTAAATTAACAAACTTCACGTTTTTCTCTTTTTTTCAAACAAATCCACAAAACATCCCCTCTGACCATTTTGAGCAGCTGAACAAATTTCAGGAATTTTTTTCGTGTTCCCAACCTTTGTTTGAACAAAACTTCGAAAACATTCTATTTTTAAGCGATTTTCATAGATTTTCGAACATTTTGATCAAAATTTCAGCTTTTCAAATCGCAAAAAGTCGAATTGATCTAATAAATTCCTTGCTTGGCACTGAATATTTCGAATTTTTTAGACGTTCGACACCAAAAAGGATCCGAATGCCGATGAATTTCTGAGAGGGACAACACTGGCGACATATGTGCGATTGAACGACAGTTTACGGTAGGTCTTAAAACTGTTTTATATGATTGAATGGTGTTAGTACTTTATTTGAACGAAAACCTTTTTAGAATGAAGGATATTTTAGTGTAATAAAAAGAAACTTGTACTGAAAGTTTGCAAAATTTTGACAAGCCCTGAATTGGTTATTTACTGATAAATTTCTAATCAGCTTTAGGACGGGCATACCGTAAATACTCGAATAGAAGCCCCCTTCCCTTTAGGAGCATCGGGTAGTCTAAGGTTACACTCGAAGAATCGCTTATATCTCGACACCAGTACGTTTGTTTCTGCACGCTTAGGTATCAAATTAAAGTAGAAAAGATGGGTGATTTTTTGAGATATAATACATATTTTAAGCATTAACCAGCGCTTAGAAAAAAATGATTGAGAAATGCCAAAAAAGGCCGATTTTTCATCATCTTTCAAGGGCCGATTTGGGCCGATTTTTCATCATTTTTTCTAAGCGCTGGTTAATGTTAAAAATATGTGTTATATCTCAAAAAATCACCCATCTTTTCTACTTTAATTTGATACCTAAGCGTGCAGAGACAAATGTCTGAGCGTCGAGATATAAGCGTTTATTTGAGAGTAAACTTAGACTAAGCGACGCTATTAGAGTATTTACGGTAGCCTGGTTCACATAGTATAACCCTAGCTCAATCACGTCATGTAGCATCACTATGCTACTAAATTTGTTAGTCTGTTAAGTTGATACTCTTTTGCAAAATCTTTCTAATAGTTAGCTTTGCTACATTAAAATAAAACACTTTTTACACTTTGCATTTTCAGCCTTCACGAGGAGCAATTCCGCAAGAAACTCACCTTCGAATTCTCATCGTCTGGTGAGTTCAGCAAAATAGATATCTAGTTTTTATAAAAAAACTCAAAGTCTTGTCCAAAAACAGAATCTAAACGGAGGTTCATTTCTCAAGTCTGAACTCTTTATCTCTTTATCTCTTTGGCAAAAGAGGTTCAAGGTGGAGAATTGAGTGATGGGCGGACATTTCCCCTCTTTTCACATCCAATCTTTTATCTTTTTATCAGTCTTTCTTTTCTCACGAATCTTTCTCAAACCTTTTCTCTGAGATTCGATGTTTTCGGCTGTCACTTTTTGCGTTGTAGGTGGCTTTCCTTGGGGTGAAAAATGAAGGGATAGTTCTCGCAGTCTCTCTCATTCTCTGTTTCCATTACCTTCAATCCTCATCACTCTAGGCATTTCTTTACTGCTTTTCGTATTTCAAACTCGTTTCATTCACATTTAGTCAGCTAATGAGAAGATATTAACGATAACTTTTCAACTTTACCAACTTTTTGTAGGTGAATGAACTTTTTCAGAAGCAATCTGTTCTCCTTCTACTCAATTACCACTTAATGACTGGCAATCGGCTTATCTCTGAGTTTTAATAGTTTTTTTTCATCTTTGCAACTTCCTCTTTACTCCTTGACATGTTCCATTGTTGATTTTGGATTCTTTTAGGATATGTTGTTTCAATAATCACTTATAAACGTTTTCTTTTGTTCATTTAATTAATCCAGGCCAAAAGCCAAGACAGGCAAAACTGGCAAACTGACAGCCATGTTGTTAGTTTATGTAATTTTGGGCTCATAGTCAGGCAAGACAGGCAAAACTAGTAAAAAAACGGTTTTGGAACAGCCATTGATAAAACTTGAAAACCATTTCCAGAAGCAAGGAGAGTAGTTATTACTAGGCTTGCTTATCGAAATTCTTTTGAGATTTTTGTGAGATTGGCCTTTTTCATTGGTCAACTCAATAAAAATATCAAGACAGTTGCACCCAGAACTGTTAAAAATGACTTTGGCATATTTTTGAACATTGTCCGGTTAAAGGGCGGCGTCGAAATCAAAGAGAAACATGGATGACTTAAATAAACAAAAGACAATGTTCGAAACTATGCCAAAACCATTTTCTCACATCTCACAAGAGAAAAACAACAGTAGGATGTGGCCAAATGAGATAAGCCATAGACCATTCGACGCTAATTCCGAATCTGCTTTTCTTTTTTGCAAAATGGCTTTCTACAGAAAGTTATACGTGTTTTAAGTTTTAGGGTGAAAATGCGAAAATTCGGAGCCGAATAAGGATGCCTATACAATGGTTCTCTCTTGGATCTCTCTTGGACTTGGATCTCTCTTGGATCTCTCTTGGATCTCTCTTGGAGCTCAAACGTGACTTTATAGTATAGTGGATAAGACGCTTGCATACAAAACGAGCGCCGCATTTTTTGCTCGAGTTCGATTCCTTTTTTGGCAAAACTTTTGTTTGTCAGTTTTGTCCCTAAGCCTAATCTCGAGAAAACATTATATTTCGATAGTTTTTCAACTTAAAACATAAAACAAACAGAAAACATTTCCTTTGATATTGCCGCTAACTTCGATATCGTTAAGTTTCGATAAGGGTCCTTATCAAAAGTCGATAAGCAGGCCTAGTTATGAAGTGAAATTGAGCTTTGACTGTAGTTGTTGCCAGTACAACCGGTTAGTCCCAACTTTTCCAGTTAACCTTTCTTTATATAAATGTATCTCTTCGAATTCCCCTATCCATTTCCCCATAATATTTAGCGGTATTCTCTGCCCGTCAATTCTTTTACTCGCCTGGTCGACCCTTTTGTTGTCATCCCCCATTTTGACCATCTCATTTCAAAAGCCGTTCTTTTCTTCTTTCTTCTTTCTTCTTTCTATTCCTCCTCGTTGCTTGTTATTGAAAAATTCCTGTCAATGTATTGACTGGTTAGTGGGTAATATTTACCAATACTTCTATAATCGAATAACTAGTGGATTTTGGAAAATTTTTAGCATTTTAACCCGATCTTTATAATTAGAATCAATTTTTGTATCTTTTATATTAAAAGTATTGTAAAGATCAGATAAACTGGCTCAAAATCAAGTATTTAGCCAACAAGAAAAAACATTTTTGATTCACATAAGAATTTTAAAGATTTAATCTTTTTCTTGAATGCTTTTGAGCTGACATACTGTGTTTAGGGGGTGGGACAAATGCGACCTTTTTTTTTTTGCGCACCTGGACATTTGCGCACTTTTTTTTTGCTGGAAAAGGCCTTAAGAAAGGTCGTAGAGCTTCGAAAATGCTTTCATAGAAGGGAATCGTATGCGTAGATGCCGAATTTCGACAAATCAGACCTCGCTGACACGTCAAATTTGGGCTAAAAGGCAAAAACTACGCAACTTAACGCTTTTCCGCAGTTTTTGCTTTTTAGCCCCAATTTGACGTGTCAGGCGAGGTCTGATTTGTCGAAATTCGGAATCCACGCATACGATTCCCCTCTATGAAAACATTTTCGAAGCTCTAAGGCCTTTTCCAGCAAAAAAAGGTGCGCAAATGTCCAGGTGCGCAAAAAAAAGGTAGCATTTGTCCCACCCCCGTGTTTAGATAAGAAACTAGGATTTATAGAATCTTTAAGTTTCATTCCAAAGTTTTATTCGATAACATATTTTCATCTTCATGTTCATAATCGATTTCTGATACACCATCATTTTCTCAATCCCCATTTTTAGCGACGAAACCCCAAATCGATTAGTTCGTTTTGAATTCGATTATTCTCGAGAAAGAGAACGCGGAAATTCTCTTCACAAACCAAACTTTTAATGTATTTGACTTGGAAATGACTCTCCGGATAGATTCTTCCACTTTCGATGTACCATTCGAATGGTATATCTATCATTTGCCACCAGGTAGATGCAAAATTTTTTTAGCATCTTTAATCAAATAAAAAAATTTCATTCAGGCATCTCCACCACTCAATCCGACTTCAGTAACTTGGCTGAATTATTGCAAAGTTGCGCAGATTTAAGTCGGATACGATTGCCGAAGAAATTTCAGGACTATGAGGTAACAGCGGTTTATGATTAATTTAGTAATGATATTTTTTAGCAAAAAGCAATCACTTATCCGGAAAGGAAATACATTGGTGCGCCAAAATCGGTACTCGAGTGTTTGGATGTGACGGATTATCTTGTGTTGAAGGATAGAGAGGCTGCTATTCGACCCAGTGAGGTAAAGAATTCAAAAATAATATCGATTATAATCAGTCTAAAGCAATGGTTAAAACAATCATTTACTATGAATCGTAAGTTCTAGCTGGTATAGTAACTGGCCTAGATTAGACGCGTCTAAAAAGTTTCTGCAATGGTTTTATAATAGTATACCTTGAGCGGGTGTTCTAAGCATTCCTAGCTACCGTAACCTAGTTTATAGTTAGCTCTGGGTTACTGTAACATCTATTAACTGGATCGTGATAGTCGTGTTGCGCGTTTTAGCTTTCAGTCATTTGAAAAAGTTTTCAATTGTGTGAGCCATAGCACTTTTTATACTAAGTATCCGTTGATAAGATGTTTTTATGATAACTTTGATAATCTTATCCCAATTCAAACTTCCAATTCAGATCCGAGGTGGCCCAATCGATGCTCTAATCGTTTTCGCCACCCAAGCCAGCGGTTCACTTCTCTATCAAGAAGCTTTCCTCTCGACCTATCGCACTTTCGCCTCATCTCATGATCTCTTGCAAAAGTTAACGCACAGGTGATTACATTAGATTATACTTTAAATCTTTAATACTATAGATATGTGTACATGGCGTTATCCTCCGAACCAGCCTCTCAAAAAGCGGCTCGTCTCACCTTTTCCGTCATCGTTCGAGTGGTTGATGAGCTGTGTACGGTGGAAATCAACAAAGAACTCGTCGCAATTGTTACGAATTTTGTTTATCGATTGATTCGAGATGGGAATTTTCAATTGGCTAGGCTATTGAGGTGAGAAATTACTTACGAAAATTGTAGTTTTGGTTCGACTGAACCGCAGTGGCTTTGTACTTTGGGCTCTAGCAAAAGCACGACTCCTGACGCACTCAACTCGCATGCCAGAATGCATGCGGCTTCTAAGGGCACAAACTACAAAGCAAACTTCTCAATTTCAAAGATTTGCTTTGAAATCTCAACCTTTTTCTCAGCGTATTTCATCAAAATTTCCCATGCCTTCCTTTCTTTTCTCTCTCACTTTCACTTAAAATATTTTTATGTGAGGAGCAAGTTTTTTATGCGAGGAAAGACGCGTACCTTTTTTCCTCCTAACTCAAATTATTTCCTCATGGGAAATAAGTGTTTAGCAAAACTTGATCGGAGAAAGAAGGATATAATTTAATTAAGATATAACTTTTTTAGAACTCGTCTCATCGAAAGAATAGAATCAAGCGCGGTGGTTAGACAACCAACAGTCTACATGGATCGGCTAAAGAAGTGAGTTGATTTAGAAGGAATGCAACATAAGAGTACGTTTCAGCTTATTATTAAAGTTTAAACGTAAATTTTTATTTTGTCATAAACGATTGCATAGATCAGTAAACAATAGTCTTCAATGATCGCTTTGTTGAACTTTTGCAAGAGATTGCAAGATCCTATTCAACTCGTGAAGTTCCAAAGATTCTAAAGATCGAATTCTTTCAGAGGAGAAACCCTGTTGGATTTTCGATCAGCAACCATTGCACAACAGCTGACTTTACTCGATCAACGCTTGTTCCAAGCGATCGAACCAGCCGAACTCCTGTGGTGGGCCGAGGCGCAAGATGAGAAACGGTGCCCAAATTTGGTCGCTTTCACCGAGCAGTTTAACAAAGTGAGTGTGAAATGAGCACTTTATACAAAACCTGAGATCAAAATGGATTCAAAAATCTCAAATTCAAGATAAAGCCAAAATCGATGTAAATTTTAGATGTCGTATTGGGTGAGAACAGTGGTTTTGACACCGAAAGAGCACAAGGAACGAGAGCGCTACATGAACAAATTCGTGAAAATCATGAAGGTTGGACAGATTTTTGATTTCATCTTTAAATCTTTTGAGTAATTATGTAAAAATATTCATACTTTATATATTATGCGATTTTTTTTTTTCAGCAACTCCGTCGTTTGGGCAACTTCAATGCTTATCTGGCGATCTTGTCGGCGCTCGACTCGGGCCCAGTGCGACGCTTGGAATGGGGAAAAATGGCAACCGAACAACTGAAAGTAAGGATAAAATAAGAAAATTACAGCTTAAACTAGATAATTCATAGTGCTTAATCTATAGTGTGATATAATTTATTCTCTAGGAGCACGCTGTCATCATGGATTCCTCGGGATCGTTCAAAATCTACCGAACGGCGCTCGTAGAAACGGCACCACCTTGCATTCCTTACGTGTAAGTTTTCCTATATTTCTTCAAATTAAAACTTAAAAGTTCTAAAATTATAAGAATTTGATTCTCTAATTTCTCTAATTCTAAATCTCTAAAGTTCTCTAATTTGATGATTCCGAAAACTTATCATTTTAGTGGTCTTGTCCTTCAAGATTTGACCTTTGTACACGTCGGCAACGTAAATTATCTCCACGCTGAGGCGGTGAAAGGAAGAACGGATTTGTTGAACTTTGGCAAGAGATGGCAACAATTCGCCATTCTCGACTCGATTCGAAAATTGAAAAGATGGTGGGTTGAGCAAAGGAGAGAATAGCTGTTGGTTCTCTCAAGTGTTTGTACAATTTTACATTCTGATCAGTGAGGCCAAGATCAACAGAATCTATTACGCAGTGAAGTTTCGATCAATTTGGAGTGCTTGATTTTTGGATTTGAATTAGAATACCACCACCAGAGGTGGCTGACTAATTTAGCTATCCGCTAGCCGGATCCGCCAACGCCAGTCTTGCTATCCAACGCACTAATTGACCCCGGATAGAAGATGGTCAGCTACTAATAAAGTTGCGGGACACTTTTTCTTTTTGCTTCTTGGGTAACATTTTGCGTAGTGTTCGAAAATCACCATCCCAAAATCCGATTGTTGCGTTTTTGCTGAGTAGTTCTTTTTTGTTTTTTTTTTTGCTAAGCATGACCCGTTCTACCACTTCTGGTCACAAATACGACAGTTTTCTTGCCGCCATCCCTTGCGAATAAGGATGAAAACCTAAAGCCCTCAACCCAACGGTCCTCTTTAGGATTACAAATCAGTTCCAAAACCAAAAAAAATATTCAAAATGAAAAGAAAATTAATTTGCTAATTTTCCCGAAAAAGTTACATTTTCTTAGCAAAAACGCAAAAATCTGATTGCGGGATGGGGATTTTCGGATTCTGCGCAAAAAGTTACCCAAGAAGCAAAAAAAAAAGTGGCTCCTAACTTTATTAATATCCCAAATTGGATAGCGAATAGCTTTGGTGGCCTGGATCTAGAGAAAGTGCTTGTTTAGAATACTAGTTAAACGTTAGCTATGGCCAACAAATTGAAAAATGAAATGTTCAATTCAAGCTATTTTCAGGAACTATTCTTTCACGAGAGATGATCGAATCATCGCCGCATTCAAGTGTTTCACTTCGTTGACAGAGGACGAGACATGGGAATTATCCGAGATGATCAAACCGAGACAGAGAAGGAATCCTTAACATTTGTATCGATGTTAGCAGGACAATGAACAGTTCGAGGGTACTTTGAGCTCATAGGAACACACCTTTTGCTGGCACACTACGGTTCTGTGCCCCAGAAAAGGTGCGTTTAAAGAACTTCAAAGTACACAAAGTCCACTTATTTTGCATCGAAAGTTGTGGGTATTTTTTGGTTTCCAATTTTTTTTTCGTGTTTCACTTGTTTAATTGAGTCTCTAGTTCTCTATCTCTAGCTGATTTTCTAGTGTATTTTTATTCTTTAGATACTTATTACCGTACTCTTACCGTACTCCACACCAAAATCATACCGGTCACCAAGTTTTTTTTTCGATTTTCACTCGATTCAGGCACATTTCCACACAAAAATCTTGAAGTACTACTATTTTATATATCTAGTCATAAATGTAAACTAGTCTATTTGAAAGATATTTCTATTTTTGTCATGACATTTCTATTTTTATTTGTTTATTTTCTCTCTTCTTTTACCCCAATCCAATCTCCTATGAAAAAACGCATAATTTTGAGCTTTCTGATGTCATTTTTCACATGTTTTAATAAAATTTTTCATTTTAAATGGTTTTGTTTTTGTTTTTGATTTTAAACGACGAAAATATTTATTGAAATGAGAAACTCATTATTTTCCGAGTCCTAAGTTGAATTTCTGAAGCCCTTTCATTGAGGGATGAGAGCTCGGAGAACGCTTCTCGAAGCTGAGAGCCTCGTCAGAGGAAAGACTAAAAATATTAAGCGTTATAAGCATTTTTTAGGAAAATATACGAATAAGGGATGGGCAACAGATCAACTCATCAAATGAAATATACCATACACCAACGGATGAAGAATTTTGATTCCGAATATCTGATTCGTTCTTGCAAAATGATTCAGAAGCGCGTTCAATTTGTCCTTCCTTTATAAGGCTTACGTGCGCACGAGGTGGAAATGGCTGCGTGGTCTAGTGGATAATGGATTAGGATACGGTTTAGCTACTCGAGGGTTTGAATCCGATCACTTTGTTCCTTTTTAGAAAATCTATTCTATGTGTTTCCTGTGTGCAAATACAAACGCGCGTCATCTGGCATAGAACAAACTATGATATGCTGGCAATGGCCGATGTATGCGTTGTGCTCGATGTGATGTTAAATTATGTTTTGCTCACTTTATCGATTGTTGTCGCACGTGTTAATTTGTGCTCAATCGTTTGCGTTATTTTGTTTGTTTTTTTGTTAAAGTTATTATGTTATCAATTTGTGATACAGAAGATAGGAGAGACTTGAAGCTATGAGAGACTTGAAGCTATGAGAGACTTGAAGCTATGAGAGACTTGAAGCTATGAGAGACTTGAAGCCATGAGAGACATCATAAAAAGTATTTTCAAAAAGAAGAAAGTGAGCGGATTCGAACCCTTGACTAGCTACTCAGTATCCTAACCAACTAGCCCCCACACCATGCAACCATTTTCGAATGGTACGCGCTTAAACCTGATAAAGAGAAGCCAAAAGTTGTTTGCCAAGTTGCGAACGATTCAGAAACATTCAGAAAACAAATCAGATATTCGAAATCAGCGTAAAATTCTGCGGTCTATAGCTCATTAACATTTGGTGAGCTGGATCTGTTGATCAACTCTTGTAAAGAATCTGCTAAGCTCTCTTTAATCTACTTTCTATCTACTCTAACAACAAAAAGCTGAGATTTCTAGCAGCAATTTCGTTTCAAATGCAAAACCCAAGACAGCCCAGTCTAAACCGGGTTTAAAAGCATTTCAAATGAAAAAAATCTTTTAATAAAGGTGAAAACTTACTCAAAGTATTCGTCATTTGGCTCGGGTTCATCTAAATTTTCTTTTTATTAATCAGATTTTTTAGTTTAGACACTTATTGATCGATTAAAACACATAAAAATTGAATATGCATATAATTTGAGCTTAAAAACGCAAACGAACCCCTTCTGGCGTATTGAATTTATTATTTTTCTTCCTAAAACGGGCTGATAAGATGAAAAAAAACGACCAGAAGGGTGCATTTTCAATTTTGAAAAAAAAGTCCACCAAAAGTTAAGGACAAGTCGAGGAAATGTAAATTTCATGCATTTTTAAGTAAAAGTTCAACTTTAGAAGTAGAATTAGCATTCGTTTGTTCACTTTTGACAGTTAGAAGTTAGTTAGAAGTTCAAAATTCAATTTGACAATTTGTTTTTTCGACAAAACCCCGTCAACACAATAATTTATTCGTCAGCAAAGAGAAAAGCGAGCCAAAAGAAAACAAAATGTCACGTTTCTTTTAGAAGAATCAACAATTTCAGTAGAATTCATCTAGGCTTTATTTTAGCATTCTTTTTCCTTTCAATTTTCTTCACTTACCATCCAAATCCTCGTACATTTCACTCCGTTTTCCGAAACCCAACGCGAATTTCGGCTTTCCTCCTGAGCGTTTCCCGAAGCCGAGGTTGAATTTGTTTGGCTGAAATTCATTGAATCTTCATTCAAGGCGCAAGGATCTTCATTCAATTTTTATGCAATTTCGGAATTGTTTATTTTAATCACAAATGCCTATTTGATAACTGGGAATCAATTGGAAATGTTTTACCAAAAAAAATAAACTTTTGAACTTCAAAATCATTAGATCATTCATTCAGATCATAGACAGAAAGCCTTCCAGTTGTACGCGTGACAATTAGAACATTCAAAAATCTGTTCAAAATACATAGTTATTGAAACTAGGGTTCCAAGACAGACTAGACCCGTGCTGACACTGAGATTACCTCGACTACCTGGACTACCTGGACTACCTGGACTACCTGGACTACCTGATCAACCTGATCAAAACTTTCAAAGTACTAATAGTTACCTAATTGTAAGTTTTATTTACAAGAAAAGACCTGAGCCGATAAAATGCTATACCAATCGACGTAGAATTTTACGCTGATTTCGAATCTATATTCGGTTTTTGCTTAATGACAATCTGTCAAAAATTATAAGTGTTTAAAGTTTTGTTTTGAAAATGTAGTCATTTGGCGGCCTCTATGGGATCTTAGCGGCTTCCTCGTGGACGAGTTTCGGTGCACCCGTGGCGGAGTGGTACGACGTGCGTTTCCAGAGCGAGACCTCACGAGTTCGACCCCCACTTTGGATCTTTGGGGGGTCGAACTCGTGAGGTCCGATTATGGAAACGAACGCCGTACCACTCGGCCACAGCCGAACTGAAACCAGTCCCCAAGGAGGCCGCTAAGACCCAGGGAGGCCGCTAAAACCCAGGAAGGCCGCTAAGACCCAGGGAGGCCGCTAAGACCCAAATAGCTACATTTTCAGCGTCCTAACTTTAGACACTTATAACACTTGACAGATTGTCATTTAGCAAAAACCGAATATATATTTGGAATCAGCATGAAATTCTGCGTCGAATAGATCGCATAGCAGTTGACCGGCTTAGCCAGTTGACCCTTCCCTTGTTAGTTAAACATTTAATACTTTGTTCGATGGATTCAAAGTATGTAGCAAATTTTGCATGTTTAAAACCAAACCGCTCTTTTCCATTGTGGCCCAAAGGAGAGACCCTCCTCGTCAGAGCGTTTGCCTGAAAAAACATATGTAAATTTGTAGATAAATGAATAAAAAGATGAGCTATTAGCTTCTTATAGTCTGAAAAATAGCATTATTCAATCCAATTTTAGCCACCAAAACCGAGAGCGACTCCTCGATTTTTTCCGCATTCGATCACTGAAATGAGGACGGCGAAAAGGGCCAATAGGGTACACCAAGTTCTCATCTTTTCTTTTTTTGATGAATTTGAAGCTTGAATCTGAAATTCTTGATCGTAAAATGAATCCAATAATGAAAGAAATTGAAAGAAATTCAAAGAAATCAATTCCCACTAATTTCCACTAAATTCTAGCCTCTCCACAGAACTTAAAGCGATGCAAAGCGGAGAAAAATGTGGAATGCGGCTTTTGAATGAAAATGAAAAGTTCTAATCGGTTAAAAAGCTTATCGAGATTTAACGAGATAGCTCTGTTGCTCTGGAATTGTCTCGCTAATTTTCGAAAAGGTTTTTGATCGACTTTTTCAACAGAAAAATCTAAGTGATAGATATCATTAGATAGCTTAAAATCTTGGCTTTTAAATAAAACAAAGGCCATTGGAATCCGATACTCTGGAGGCTAGATGAAGCGCTTGGAGTAGCACGATCAAGCGCCTGGAGTAGCTGGAGTAGGCTGATTTTTTGTTCTGTATCGTTTTGTCCCGAAGCAAGTCTACTTCTTCCATTCCAGGAATTCAAATCAAAGTATCATTGATAGAAAATAGAAATAGAAAATAGAAATAGAAAATATTAAACAATGCTAATATAACTTGTGAAAGTTTGGGATTTGAAAAGGCATTCAAAAACTTTCAAGAATAGATGAAAGGGTTGGACTAGAGTTGAAAAGGGTATTAGAGTTGGAAAAGATCAAAACTATTAGTCAGAATTGTCTAGATTTGCTAGTATTCAAATCAAAGAAGGCAAAGCAACATCTCTAACTACAGTCGCAGTACGATTTTCGTAATCCGGGTCCTTTTATTTAGGAGAATGGGGCTGACGTCTGCCTCGAGATCCCAGGCTCTCATCTTACAGTGCTTTTATAAAATTCTCTCTATTCTTTCCCCCACCGACATTTCCACACCCCCTTCTTTATTTTCTTACTAAGGTCCTCATTTACCCATTTGGAATGGGTTTATGACTAATAGCCACTAAACTAGCAGCCCTAAATGGATAGACAACGAAAACATTAGTCTTTTCTAAGAAAAATTTTCGATTTACAAAGAAAATTACGTGTTTTCTTGAAGAGAAAAAGACAAAAAACCTGATAAATCTAGCAAATTTGCCTTTTTGCAAGCTAATTTCTAGAGGAAAATCTACAAATTCAAAAGATGAATAACCTTTTGAAGGAAAAATGAATGCTTGATGTTGAGCAAAAAGAGTTAGACATCAATGAATCGACAAATCTTGATCATTTCCCACAACTTTTGAGCCCATTAGATTCTGTTCTGCTTAGTTCAAACGTTAAACCGATTTTCTCATTTTCTACCCTACTTTTCTACCTCATTTTCTACTTTCTTTACTTGTCTTTACTCCTAATCTGAATCCTCCCAAATACCAATTTCCTAACCCGAATCAAAGCCACTTTTTAACTATTGGATTGGTGAGTTGAAAACTGCGGCTTTGAGCTAAAATTTATTGAACACAAAACCATCAATTCATTCCACATAATTTCAATTATTATTGACGACTTCTGCCCATTTTACAGGCAATTTGCGGATTCCTCTTTCGTAGTAGGATTTTGGTTTTTGTGTGAGACAAGTGTGAGACTCAAAAATGGAGGACTCGAGACTGGAGAAGTCCCAGTTTGAGCACTTTCCGCAAAAGAAACCCATTTTGGTGTCACTAGAAAAGTTGTAGAGAATCAAAAATCAAGCTTATAGCCAAATTTCCAAAAAGATACACTTAGTAGTTTCGCTTAAAATGCAGGTTTTGTGAAAATTCGTAAATTTGGCATTTCTTGAAAACCAGCTTTTGAATCGTTCTGAAAATTTGGATATAGGCTTGATTTTCGATTCTCTACAACTTTTCCATTGACACCAAAATGGGTTTCTTTTGAAGAAAGTGCTCAAACTGTCACATATGACAATAGCCCGGAGTTTTCAATTCACCAACCCAATAGTTTTGGCCTTCATTGTGGTTCGACCTACGAAAAGTTCCGAATTCTCGACTGGAAATAGATTCCTTTCTCATTTCATCACAAAATTTATCGCGTAAAACAATACTTTCAACTAATCTGATAAAAAGAAATGATTTGAAAATGAAAAAGAAACGACGACGCGGCGCTCCCATCGACTACCTTCGACTACCGGCGACGTCATTTGGAATGCGACGTTGCGCGAAAATTAAAATCTTACATGAAAACGCACCGAAAAACACACACAAGAGCCCGCAGTTTTCAATTCACCAACCCAATATTAATCTTTCTCAAAATAACATTTACTATGAAAGAATGTTTGAAAAAAGAAAAATTTTAGGGGTGCAATGGGGTTTTAGGAGTTCAATGCAATTTTTATTGCAATAATATCAAGCTTGGAAAAGAAAAAGTTTATGAAAACAGTTTCAAAAACTCATGTTTAGCTTTTGAGAACAGAATCTGTCTCTAAACAAAAAAGAAAAGCTTTCCCCGGGTCCAGGAAAGAAATTTTGACTCAAACAAAGCAAAACAAAGCAAAACTTAGAACAAAATGGCTTTCTTTTAACGTTTTCTCAATTTGAAACATAAAAATAAGTATGTCATTTGTGAAAAAAAACTAAAATTTACGCAATATCAGCATTGGTCATCGAGAAACGCAATCCCTTTCGAATTGATTCAAAAGATAGCTCTACGCAAGCTAAAAATTCAAAATTGCTTTCCGAGATGACGTTTGAAATGAAATGAATAAGAATGACTGGAAAAGATCAAAATTAGAAATGAGAAAATGTTGTCCACAAAGAAATTTGTGGCGAAAAATTGAATTTGACGGGTGTTTGAATTGATTATTGAGGTGGTGAAGGGTTTTTTAGTAATGACAGATTTTTCTCAATCGTAGCTGGATGTGTCATAATAACTAGGTAATTAAACGAAACCAGGCTCACTTTCAACGCATTTAATCGCATTTAAGTATCGCTGGCCAGATCAAAGCCTTGGCTTGGCTTAGCCTAGAGAATCAGTTCTAGAAACAGTTCCAGAAACAGCTGGAAACCCGTTACCCGTCTAGGACCTACGACCCTTCTCCGACCCGCCACCCCCTGCCCGGACCCTACCCGGACCTGCGACCCCTACCCGACCCGCGACCCCTGCCCGGACCCTACTCGGAACCGCCACCCCTCTCCGACCCGCGATCCTTGCCTGGACCCTTCACGTGACCTGCCACCCCTTGACCCGGACCCTACCCGGACCTGCCACCCCTACCCGGACCCTACCCGGACCCTACCGGACCCTACCCGGACCTACCTCCGGACCCACTACCCGGACCTGCGACCCCTGCCCGGACCCTGCCCGGACCTGCCACCCCTACCCGGACCTCCGACCCTTGCCCGGACCCTACCCGGACCTGCGACCCCTGCCCAGACCCTTGCCCGGACCCCTACCCCGGACCTGCCACCCCTACCCGGACCTGCGACCCTTCCCGGACCCCGGACCTCGCCCCGGACCCGCGACCTCTTACCGCCGAATTCTCTACCAATGAGCTACACCAACACATGTCCCGTTGCCGCCAGGATAGGCTTTATACCTTACTCTATGGCTCCTCATCGAGTGATACCAAAATAGAGCTGATTGCAAAAACTGGTTTTGGTACAATAGTTATTTTTAAAATAAGTGCTTTTAGCCTCAGATTTTCTAGAACTAAAACAATTTCCTAGAATTTTCTAGAACTATATCGCTAAACTTGTAGGAACAATTAGCAGCGCCAATCTGGGGACTAGACAATCGGCGATTTCTATGCATCAAAAGCGAACGCTTTCCCCTTCCACCAAAAAGAGGATTCATTAATAAAACATCGTAGTACATAGATAAATATTGACCTAGTAGATTTTGCAGAAGTAAATGATAAATCCGAGATAGAAAGTTCTAACAAGCTACAAAATCTGATTCAATGCCAAATCGGGAGAGAGGATAGTTACGCCTGGAATGAGTTAGGGAGCGAGTGACTTGTCATATTGGAGTTATTGGAGCTGGAGGCCTTATTTGAGGCATATTTGAGGCATTTTGGAGACTTGGCATAGGTTTTTTTTAGGTTCTGATTCAGTGAATCGTCGCTTAGGTAAGTTTTTTTTCATCCTACTATTGTTAATTCAAACGACTAACTTCAAACTACTAGTTTACTCGAAAAGTTCGTCTCTTGTCCGTCTTTTTAAAATTTACATTTATAAATGAATAATTTTAGTCAATGAATATGTGATTTTCTTTAAAATAAAAAAGATTAATTCTTTCATTTAGCTAATTTTTAAGCAAAATTGGGTCAAATTTCAAATTTCAGAGTCTCAAAAATCTTGTCTGGCCTTTTTTTAAATTTAAATTTAAATTTTCGGATTGTCAGCTCCGAGCCAAACGGACAAATCATTCAATAATAACAATAGTAACTAAAATATCAGCTTGGTTCGGAGCTGAAGATGCTCTGTACATCGATCCTCCAGCGAGAGATGTACCCTGTACACTTTCGCTGGAGGAAGAGGGGGATAGATTTTGGCACACAGTTTCCGCATGATTTTTCCCAAGTTCTTAAAACTTTTTAGCACGAAATTCGTACAGAAATCTAGCCCTGAATCAGGCTCTATCTATTAGGTTGGTGGGAAAATAATCGAAATAAACAAGACTCAAACTTTTGCAGTCCTTTGCGTTTTGAAACAAGAGTCCTTTTGCGTCATTGCTACTAAACTGTGTATAGATGCTGATGCTTTTACTTTGAATAAATTCATTTGTTATTGGCTTGGCATTGGCTATTGGCACAGTTTTGGACTTGAAGTTAGAGGCCCAAATTTCGATTATCTTTCCACCAACCTAATAAAATAGCTGAATTAAGTTCAAAAGTTTACCAAAAAATCCCCTAATACCTTATCTCTCTAAATCCTGGTTCCTTATCTCTCTAAATTTGGTTCCTTATCTCTCTAAATTTGGTTCCTTATCTTGGTTCCATATTTCATCTCTAAATTTGGTTCCCCTTATCTCTCTAAATTTGGTTTCCCTTGTGAAATGTGAAAAATCAAGA